CCTTGGAATTTAAGTGCTGCTTTGTCGGTAATAAATCCAAGAGTCATTGGCCCCACTGCTGGAAAGGAGAAGAACACATTAGGCATAAGTAGTCTATTTATATGGGGTTTAAAAACAGGTCAAAGAAGTTCAAAGAACTTTGGCTTTGAGATGTTTGATGGAAGCAGCTTTGTGTCCTCATTTAGAACCCAGCCACCGGCCATACTGTGATTCCAACAGCACCAGACTCAGTATCATCCAAAGGTCGAAAGGAACTATAGAGAAGACATTATTCTTTATCTCTGATCCAGTTAAAGGAGTACAAATTGTCCAGCACTTCAGCCTCCTCATCCAGAAGAAGCTCCCTTTTTTTCTTCATGTAAGAAGAGCACTAACAAAGTTAGAGCTAAGACAGCAATGATGCACACTACTAGTTTGGAATGTACAACTCCAGTTTCCAGAAAGAGGCTAGACACACCATTCCTATCCATCCTGGCTCATAGACATTGATGGAATTAACCTCCATGAATCTATCTAGCTCTTTTTTTAACCCTGTTAAAGTCCTAGCCTTCGCCGCATTCTCTGGCAAGGCATTCCACAGGTTGACTGTGCACTAAGTGAAGAAAAACTTCCTTTTGATTGTTTTAAACCTGCTGCCTATTAATTTTATTTGGTGACCCCTAGTTCTTATATTGTGGGAATAAGAAAATAACTTTTCCTTATTCACTTTTTTTCACACCAGTCATAATTTTATAAACCTTTATCATATCCCTCCTTAGCCTCCTTTTTTCTAAGCTGAAAACTCCAAGTTTTTTTAATCTCTCTTCATATTGGGACAGTTCCAAACCCCTAATCATTTTTGTTGCCCTTTTCTGAATGCCAATATATCTTTTTTGAGATGAGGCAATCACATCTGTACACAGTAATCAAGATGTGGGCATACCATGGTTTTTTACAGAGATGTGACAGGGTGAGCCAATCCTGCTCTGGCAGTGAAGGAGTTAACCAGGCTTGCTGGGCTGAGAGGGCCCCTCCCCCGTGGCCCTGCTCAGCATGCTCCAACTCCAGAGGCAGTATAAAGGCCACTGAAGCAGCTCAGTAAGGGCAGACCATGAAAGGGGAAGGAGCTCCTGCCAGAGCGAAGGAGCAACCACTCCTGCAGGATGAGCCAGAGCAGCCAAACCAGCTGCAGACAGAGCTGCATCTGCCTCTAGAGTCCCAGTGCCAGCTGGAGACACCTCAGCTACCCCCCCGGCCTCCACTGTTCATTGCAGGTGGAGTAACAGTTAATCTGAACTAAGGACTTAGTTCGGATTAACTTCTGACTGTCGCGTGTAGCCGCGGGCAGTCACTTCGAACTAAGCGGATTTAAAAATGGCGCCCACCCAGAAACATGCAAATGAAGCCCGGGATATTTAAATCCCAGGCTTCACTTGCAAGTTCGAATGTCTACATTAGCCACTCTAGTTCGAACTGGGGGGCTAGTGTAGACATACACATAGAGCGCTGGGCCGGGGTTCCCAAACTGTTTGACATGGGGACCAGTAAATCCATTCATGAGCTTTTGGAGGACTGGTAATATTCATTTGCATATTTGCATATTCATTAAGAAAATTATGAATATTCAAATGAGTAGTTTCTGGTCCTCCCAAAGCCCCCAGTGCCAGCATTAGGAAAGCTTTTGATAAGGTCACCCACAATATTCTTGCCAGCAAGTTAGGAAATATGGATTGGATAAGTGGACTGTAAGGTGGATAGAAAGCTGACTAGATCAGGGTTTCCCAAACATTTTACTTTAGTTGGAACCCGTTTTTTTCAGTACTGTTTTTTGCAACCCCAAAATATAAATGCATATAAAAAAAAGAATGAAAAATGAATATATTTTCAGTGTTTCACCCGGCTGCATCCTCCACCCAGCCTGTGCCAGGGCTTGGGGTACCCAGCCCCGCATGGGCACTCCAGGAGGTGGGAGCAGGAGCAGACTGGGGGTAGGGTATCTGGCTAGGAGAGAGGGTATAAGGAGGAGTAGGGTTTCCAGGTGTCCGGTTTTGTACCGGTCAGTCCGGTATTTGAGGGTTTTGTCCGGGAAACAAATTGAGAAATTACCAGACATATAAAATGTCTGATATTTTCTAATTAGGTAAGTTTTATTATAATTAAGTGTATCAGTCCTTAGCTGCGAACTGCCTGGCTGGTAGATGTGCTCACGCTGCCTGAGTGTGTCTACCTGCCAGGCAGTTCACAACTACTCAAGGGAAGGTATGGGGGGGTGTGGGCAAAATGGAATCCCCGGCTAGACTCACTCGTCTGCCAGGGTCTGTAGTGTGTGCATGCGCCCAGGTCAGTCCCAGTCCCCCCTGCTTCTCCTCCCAATCTCCCCAGTCCAGCCCTGCTGCCCCCTTCCAGCCCTAGTTCCGGTGGCTGGTTCCCCCCACCCTCCACCAATCTCCCTCAGTCAGCCCCGGTCCCTCAACCAGCCTCACTGCCCCCGTCCAGCCCTGCTTCCGGCAGCTGGTTCTCCTGTCCTCCTCATCCTGATCTCCCCCGACCAGCCTCCCCACGCCCCGGACAGCCCTGGTTCCGCCGGCTGCCCACTCGGATCTCCGTGGGACAGCCCTGGTGCCCCCAAACATGCTTCCTGGCATCCAGTTTTTCCCTGCCCCCACCTCCTCCTAGCCCGCCCTGCTCTGCCCCACTCTCTTCCCCTCCCGGCAGCCACGCTGAGGCCGACATTTTTTTCAGGCCGCGGCCCATAATTTGGGAAACGCTGCCCTGGGCTGGAGCCCGGTGAAGAGGGATGGCCCGGGCCTCCCTACCCCCATACGATGACCCCCCATAGAGGGGAGCTATGTTGAAAGGATATGGACTGGGCTTCTGGGCCATACCGACTCCCAGCCAGGGGGCAGCATAGACTAGTCCACTGGGCCATATTGACCCCCCCAGACAAGGGGACAGTACAGACTCAGCTGCTAGGAAATACAGACCCTCAGACAGGGGGCAGCACAGACTCGGCTGCCAGGCCATATTTTTCCCCTCCCAAAATGTGCGCGGGGCACATGACCCTGTGATAAGAGTCAATAAGACATTTTTTGTCTTATTCTCTATCCCTTTTTTAATGATTCCTAACACTCTATTTGCTTTTTTGACTGCCACTACAGATTGAGTGGATGTTTTCAGAGAAATATCCACAATGACTCCAAGATCTCTCTCTTGAGTAGTTGTAGCCAAAGTAGTCCCCATCAGATTGTACGTATAGTTGAGATTATTTTTTTCCAATGTGCATTACTTTACAATTAAATTAAATTAAATTAAATTAAACATTACATTTCATTTGCCATTTTGTTGCCCAATGACTTGGTTTGGTGAGGTCTTTTTGAAGATCTTCACAGTTAGCTTTGGTCTTAACTATCTTGAGCAGTTTGGTATCATCTGCAAATTTTGCCACCTCATTTTTTACCCCTTCCTCTAGATCATTTATACATGAATTTAATAGGATTGGTCCCAGGACAGACCCTTGGGGGACCCCACTAATTACTTCCCTCCACTTAGAAAACTTACTATTTATTTCTACCCTTTGTGTCCTGTCTTTTAACCAGTTAGCAGTCCATGAAAGGATCTTCCCTCTTATCCCATGACAAGTTACTTTACTTAAGAGTCTTTGGTGAGGGAGGTTGTCAAAGGCTTTCTGGAAATCTAAGTCTACTATATCCACAGGATCCCCCCGTCCACATGTTTTTTGACCCCCTCAGAGAACTCTAGTAGATTAGTAAGGCATGATTTTCCTTTAAAGAATCCATGTTGAGTTTTTTCCAACAAATTATGTTCATCTATGTGTCTGACAATTTTATTCTTTACTATAGTTTCAACTAATTTGCCCAGTACTGACATTAGACTTACCGGTCTGTAATTGTCAGGATCACCTATAGAGGCTTTTTTATATACTGGCATCACATTAGCTATCTTCCAGTCATTAGGTATGGAAGCTGATTCAAAGGATCGGTTACTGACCACAGTTAACAGTTCTGCAATTTTACATCTGAGTTCTTTCAGAACTCTTGGGTGAATGCCATCTGATTCCAGTGTCTTGTTACTGTTAAGTTTATCAATTTGTTTGAAAACCTCCTCTAATGACACCTCAATCTGGAACAATTCCTCAGACTTGCCACCTAAAAAGAATAGCTCAGGTTTGGGAATCTCCCCAATATCCTCTGCCATGAAGATCGAAGCAAAGAATTCATTAAAATTTCTCCGCAATAACTTTATCATCTTTGAGTGCTCCTTTACCATCTCAATCATTCAAGGTCACCACTGGTTGTTTAGCAGGCTTCCTGCTTCTGATGTACTTAAAAACCATTTTGCTATTTTTTAAATGTTTTTGGCAAGCTGTTCTTCAAACTCCTTTTTGGCTTTTCTTTTTATATTTGTACATTTAATTTGACATAATTTATGCTGCTTTCTATTTTTCTCACTAAAATTTGACTTCCACTTAGAAACAGCTGAATACAATCAGTTGTTGTTTGATATTGGTTGTCCCAACCAAATTTGATTCATCACCTCACTACTGTCTAACTTTCCAATATTAACTAAAAAAAATTGATTTTTGTCTTCCATCATATGGCCAGAACTAAGAACAGATTGAACCATTGAATGTCTGGTGTCTGAATGCTTATGGGTGGAACATGGACAGACATTTCATTAGCTGAGACAAGCCATTAAGAACGGTGGTAAACTAATTCAGAAAAATGTTGCTCTTTGCATTGTACATTTTTTCCTTGTGGGAGTTTCATGCCAGATCCTACCCAATCATGCTAGGGACTGAGGAATCTCAACTTTTATTAAAAACATACCAATGCTAGTCTGAATATTTGAAAAGATTAGTCTTAAAAAAAAAACCCTACTGATTGCAAGCAGTAGTTCAGCCCCTGCTTATATCTGTAAGTACACTTTTGCAATGCAATGCAATACCGCATTAACTATGTTTCCCTACTTGTCCATTTATTTCTCTCTCTCTTTCCTTTCAGATGTAAGATGTGGAGCTCCACCTCCAGTTAACATGGCTGCTATTATAAATAGAGAAGAGAAACAATATCTGCCTGGTTCTAGGGTGCAGTATAGATGTGTGGAAGGTTTTAAAAGTATGGAGCTGAGTTATGTGACTTGTGAAGCAGATGGAAAATGGTCACAACCACCAGTTTGCAATGGTAGGAGTTTGCATTTTAATTACAAATAAGAACATGTCATGTGCACATTGGTGAGCTGGGAACACAGAATCATAGAAATGTAGGGCTGGCAATGAACGTGAGAGATCATGTAGTCCATCCCCCTACATTAAAACAGGATTAAGTTGAATAGGATTGGTCCCAGGACAGACACTTGGGGGACCCCACTAGTTAACTTTCTCCACTCTGAAAACTTACTATTTATTCCTACCCCTTTGTTTCCTGTCTTTTAACTAGTTATCAGTCCAAAAAAGGACCTCCCTCTCATCCCATGAAAACTTATTTACTTAAGAACCTTTGTTGAGGCCTTTGTTGAGCCTTGTCAAAGGCTTTCTAGAAATCTAAGTTTATTATATCACTGGATCCCCTTTGTCCACATGTTTGTTGACCCACTCAAACAACTCTAGAATATTAGTAAGGCATGATTTCCCTTTACAGAAACCATGCTGACTTTCCCCCAACAAATTATGTTCTTCTACGTGTCTGACAATGTTATTCTTTACTATAGTTTCAATGTATTTGCCCGGTACTGTTGTTCGACGTACCGGTCTGTAATTGCCTGGTTCACCTCTATAGCTCTTTTAAAATATTGGTTTCACATTAGCTATCTTCCAGTCATTAGGTACGGAAGCCGATTTAAGGGATAGGTTATGAACCATAGTTAGTAGTTCTGCAATTTCCCATTTGAGTTCTTTCAGAATTGTTGGGTGAATGCCATCTGGTCCCAGTGTCTTGTTACTGTTAAGTTTATCAATTTGTTTGAAAACCTCCTCTAATGACACCTCAATCTGGGACAATTCCTCAGACTTGCCACCTAAAAAGAATGGCTCTGGTTTGGGAATCTCCCCAATATCCTCAGCCTTGAAGACCGAAGCAAATAATTCATTTAGCTTCTCTGCAATTACTTTATCATCTTTGAGTGTTCCTTTAGCATATTGATCATCCAAGGGCACCACTGGTTGTTTAGCTGGCTTCTGATCTACTTAAAAACCATTTTACTATTACTTTTTGTGTTTTGGCTAGCTGTTCTTCAAACTCCTTTTTGGTTTTTCTTATTATATTTTTACACTTAATTTGTCATAATTTATGATCCTTTCTATTTTTCTCAGTAGGATTTGATGTCCACTTAGAAACAGTTGAATACAACCAGTAGAAGTTTGTTATTTGGTTGTCCCAACTTAATTTGATTCATCACCTTCTGACTTTCCCATATTAACTAAAAAACATTTGATTTTTGTTTTCCACCATGTGGCCAGAAGTAAGAATAGATTGACCCAATGAGTGTCTGGTGTCTGAACTTTTTGAGAGTTTCAAACAGGTTTCTGCACGCTGTGTTTGTGGGAGCTCATACTAGAATATGAGTGGAAGATGGACAGCCATTTTACCAGCTGAGACAAACCACTAAGTACTGCAGTAAACTGATTCAGACAAATGTTGCACTTTTTATTGTACATTTTTTCTCTTCTGCGATTTTCATGTCAGAGCCAGTCCTACCCGATCAAGCTAGGCACTGGGGAATCTCAACTTTCATTAAAAACATACCAATGCTAGTCTGCATATTCGAAAAGATTAGTCTTAAAAAAAAAAACCTGAAAACAATCACCTGAGCATAATCAATTTTGTGATATCTGCATGTGTCTGCAGCAAGAACTATTTAGAGGTAGAGCAGAAACTGCCTGGAGTCACATAAAGAGCAGACCAGGCCCTCTGCCAACCAGTCCCTATTGACTGTAGAGTTGTGTGGTCCTCATTTTCATTATTATATATGCTTTCATAGATTCATGGAATCAGAAGGTTGGAAGAAACCTGAGGAGGTCACTGAGTCTAACCTTCTGCAAAAAAGCAGGACCAATCCCAACTAAATCATCCCACCCAGGGCTTTGTCAAGCTGGGACTTAAAACCGTCTAGGGATGGAGATTCCACCACCTCCCTAGGTAACCCATTCCAATGCTTCACCTCCCTCATAGTGAAATAGTTTTTTCTAATATCCAGCCTAGACCTCCCCCTCTTCAACTTGAGACCATTGCTCCTTAGTCTGTCATTATGTCACTATGTGTCTTTCCATCTTCTTCTGAACCCTCCTTTCAGGTAGTTGAAGGATGCTATTAAATCTCCCATCACTCTTCTTTTCTATAGAATAAATAAGCCCAAATCCCTCAGCCTATTCTTGTAAGTCATTGCTCTAGCCTCCTAATAATTTATGTTGCCCTCCTCTGGACTTTCTCCAATGCGTGCACATCCTTTCTGTAATCAGGGACCCAGAACTGGATGCAGTACTCCAGATGTGGCCTCTCCAGTGCTGGAAAACGGGGAATAATCACTTCTCTAGAGTTGCTGTCAATACTCCTCCTAATGTACCCTATTATGAGGTTAGCCTTCTTCGCGATGAGGGCACATTGTTGACTCCTATCCAGCTTCTCATCCACTGTAATCCCCAGGTCATTTCTGCTGAACTGCTGCTTAGCCAGTCAATGCCCAGCCTGTAGCAGTGCTTGGGATTTTGCCAGGGACTGGGGTGAAGCTGACCAGTCTGTAGTTCCCTGGATTGTCCTTCTTTCCTTTTTAAAGATGGGCATTTCATTGCCCTTTTCCAATCATCGAGGATCTCCTCTGATCACCACAAATTTCCAAAAATAATGGCCAATAGCCCTGTAATCACGTTAGCCAACTCCCTCATTATTCTCAAATGCATTAGATCTGGCCTCATTGAATTGTGTATGTCCAGCATTTCTGAATAGTTCTTAACCTGTTCTTTTTCTACCAAGGGCTGCCCACCCCCTTTCCATACTGTGCTGCCCAGTGCAGGAGTCTGGGAGTTGACCTTGTCTGTGAATCATTGACTACCTCTATTTTTCCCACATCATCTCTCACTAGGTTACCTCCTTCATTGAATAAGTGACCAGCAGTTCAATAGTTTACAGTCACAATGCATTCACATCTCCTAAGAATATAACTTCAGGGTTGGTATAGATTTAGACAGGCATCAGTGACATCAGTTTTATGACTTTCTCAAGAAAGGGGCTAGCAAGGCAACTGTGCAGAGACATCATTCCTGTAAAGACCTCCCTTTGCTCTGGCCCATCATCTGAGAGCAAAAAATGTCAGGTCCTGAAGATCCTGCTGTTTCTACATTAAGGGGAAAGAGGAAAAATTATAATGAAAGCTCACATGGCTTTGTGCTGCTTTTTTTTCTGGGGAAGAACCTAGCATATCTATCTCTGCCACAAAGCATCAACTTCATACACGAACTGGAAGAAGAATTTCTACAGGAAATGGAGGAAGAGCACAGTATGGGCATGTCTACACAGCGGGAAATGCGTAGCTTAAGTCGAAATAGATTATATTGGCTTTTGGCACTGCCTTCACAGTAGGAAGTCCAAGGTAGAGCACTCTTCCTCTGACTTCCCTTACTTCTCATAAAATGAGAGTTACAGGAGTTGAAGTAAGAAGTCCTCCAGCTCGACATTGTCGAATAACTGCTTGTAGTGTGGATGCGGACTATGATATTTCAGAAAATGTAAATTATTCCAAAATAATGCTGCTGTGTAGATATAACCTATAATGTGGATCCAGCGGCTCAAGATTTTCCAATAGAATAAAGGTTGTTCGGTCAAACATTAAGCATTTAACAGAAACTTGATGATTTAGACAAATCATCATCATTGTTTAACCTTTATTTACATTCCCTGCATCTTAGCTCAGAATGATTCACTAGCCCTACTGTCACAACCCCCCCTGCAATTTCAGTTGTTCTTTTCAATAGGACTAATTAAAAACTAGAGGATTTGAATAGAATTAGTACACAAGTAATGGAATACTGGAAGTGAATTTATGGTCCTTCATGGGAATGTGCCAGCAAGTGTCCCTTTATCTATTTTCAGATATGAGATGTGGACCTCCACCAGTGATTGAGAATGGTACTCCAGACAGTAAACGGCAAAGGTATTTTCCTGAAGAGAAGGTGCGTTATCGATGTCGAAGAGGCCTGTCCCTTATTGGGTCTCCGATGGTAACATGTAAGGAAAGGCAATGGTCTGAACCACCAACGTGCAGAGGTATTTTAATTTTTTTCTAAAATAGCCTAGTAGTAAGGATATTGTTGGAATCAAACTTTACTCTCACTCAAGTGTTTGTTGCCCTATATCGCTTCTTTTCATGCACAAATTTAACCTCACCTGCAGGCACTAAAGCAGACCTGCTTCTAGTCTGTGATGTTCTGTGGTTAGGGTAACATTGAGTGTTAGTGAGAACATTGTCATATTGACCCAACAATGATCTCCTTATTCAAGCAAATCCGCCCAAGATTTCAGTGAGGATTTGGCCTGAACAACTTCTGGGTAAAAGCCAAGACCAAATTTTGCCACTGCTACTCCGGTTGAGTAATTCACATTGATTTCAGTCATCAAAGGTGTGTCTAGACTGCAGGATTTTGTCAACAAAAGTGTCCTTTTGTCGACAAAACTATACCTGTGACAGGGTTCTGTGGACAAAAGGCACTATTGCATCCACACTGTACTTTTTCAAAAGAGAATGTCTAGAGTCTCTTTCGAAAAAGCGGCTTGCTTTATCGACAGAACTGGCTGTAGTCTAGATGCTCTTTGTCGACAGAAGCTTTGTCGACAGTATCTGTCAACAAAGCCTCTGTCAACAGAAGCATGTAGTCTAGGCGTACCCTAACATGTAGACTTTCTTGTGCATGAAAATTTAATATCTGGATCTGAGTATGATGGGGCTCTAGTTTTATTTATTAGTTGTTGTTTATAGGACCACAATTGCACTTCCATTTCCCAATGAGCTTGACGGTACATAAGAGACAATTGGTGATAGGCCTACTCCACTGAAGTCAGTAGAATACATTTCTTTTGGCTACAGTAAGACCAAGATTTTATCATTATGTTTAAGCATCCAGAAAAAAAGTGATGTCACTCTATTGGTTTATTTTGATCATTGTTTGAAATGCCAGAATTTCATTGGCTGTCTCAGTGACAATGAATAGGAACAAACAACAATAATTTCTTCTGGAAGCCTAAAGCATTATTCTAAGAAGTAGCTAGATACTAGCCCACCATTTTTGTTCACATTGGATAGTGCTGAGGAAATCAGTAACATTGCTCACAGAAGGGCACAATTCAATATAAAAAAGGGTGGTCGATATTAGGCTAATATTATTGCCTACCAATAGTACAGGTAATACACTGCAGAAATAACAAGATCAGCCTTGCTTATGGATCATTGTGGGCTCTATACATGTTCTTGTTTCTCGGAATCCCTCCCCGCACCTCCTTACAGAGTCTCACTACCTTTCAGACTAAAGCTTCCAAGATTTCCTGCATATTTCTGCCTTACTGAGCATTTCCTAGCACAAGGTAGAGCAATGAGCTCAAAAAGCTAGTAATAAGAAAAAAAGTACCCATGTAGAAACCTTGAAGCAAAATAAATACATCAGAGTAATTGTGGTTGTTTATTGGTATTTATACAAAAAAGTCAATCCTAAATTATACACCCTTAGTGTATGTCTACACTAGCTCATTAGTTCGAGCTAGATAGGCAAATGACGGCAACCGGGTTTGCAAATGAAGCTCGGGATTTAAATATCCTGGGCTTCAATTGCATCTTCTCGGGCACCACCATTTTTAAATCCCCCTTAGTCCGAACTCCATGCCTGTGACTACATGCGGCATGGAGTAGGTAGTTCTAATTAGGATCTCTAAATACATAGTTCAGTCATATCATGGAAACAATGCAATTAGACCAAAACATTGCTTCAAAATGGATTCCTTGAGAATCCCCTCCATGATTTTTCCAGGGACTGAGGTAAAATCTGGTCTATAGTTCCTTGGGATGTCCTTCTTCCCTTTTTTAAAGATGAGGATTACAATTGCCTTTTTCAAATTATCTGGGATCTTTCCCAATCTTCATGGCTGCATCTACCCTGGCATTATTTTGCACAAATACTTTTAACGGAAAAGTTTTTCCGTTAATAGTATTTGCGCAAGAGAGTGTCTACACTAGCATGTGCTTTTGCACAAAAGCATCCATGCCAGTGTAGAAGCTCTCTTGTGCAAGAAAGCTCCGATGGGCATTTTAGCCATCGGGCTTTCTTGCGCAAGAAATTAACGTTGCCTGTCTACACTGGCCTCTTGCGCAAGAATACTTGTGCAAGAGGGCTTATCCCTGAGCAGGAGCATCAGAGTATTTGCGCAAGAAGCACTGATTTCATACATTAGAACGTCAGTGTTCTTGCGCAAATACTTGAGGCCAACGTAGACAGGCGGCAAGATTTTGGGCAAAAGCAATTGCTTTTGTGCAAAATCTTGCCAATGTAGACGCAGCCCATGAGTTTTCAAAGATAATGGCCAAAGGCTCTGCAATGACATTTGCCAACTCCCTCCATAGCTTGGATGCATTAAATCCAGACCCATGGATTTGTGTATGTTTAGCTTTTCTAAATAGACCCTAATCTGTTCTTTCCTCACCAAGGGCTATCCACCTCCTTCCCACACTGTGTTGCCTAGTGCATTGGTCTAGGCCAGCGGCTCCCAACCTTTTCCAGATAGGGACCCATTTTGACAATTCAGGAAGACTTGGTGACCCAAAGCAATTCAAAAATGGGGGGAAGAGAATGGGCAGAGCCATCTAGGGAGATGCTTGGTGATCCTTTTGAAATGTAATGGTGTCCCATATTTGGGTCCCGACCCATGGGTTGGGAAACACTGGTCTAGGGGCTGACCTTTTCTGTGAAGACAGAGGCAAAGAAAGCCTCAAATACTTCAGCTAATTCCAACTCTAAACATGTGACAAGGGGAAAGTGAGGGTGTAGCCTCCTTCACATCAACTTCTGAGCTTGCCTGGAGCGTGTGACAACATAGCACAACGCTGTGGGTCAATGGACACTGCTGCTGAAAAGTCGTGGCCATGGTGCACAAGGCATATGGACCCCCATATCTGGGATATTAATAGAGATCATGCATCTCAAAGAACCTCCAATTACAGGTGAGTAACCTTCTCGCTCCTGACTTCTCATTTTAAGCAGAAAATAAGTGTGTGAATTTAGTGCAATTTTAAATGAAGTCCAGTAAACAGGTGTACGAAATCTTAATGGCAGAAAAATACAAAGGGTAAACACTTATTTTTAGAGAAACATCGTTTTAATGCAGTTATTACTAATTATTTAGATGTGTACTGAATTACAAACATCTTAGTAAGGAGAGAACGAAGTATTAAAACATGTACATTAATATTAATTATTTCATTTTAGAAAAATATGCAGTTATAGCATTTTTAAAGAAAGACTTAAAGTGAGCACAAAACAGAGAAGTGTTAGTACACATACAGAATTGTGCATTTTGAGAGAGAAATATTTTCATGCCTTTAGTACATCTCTAATAGATCAGTAAACAATTGCACAAAGTAGTAATGGTAGGGATATAAAGTAACGTTACATAAAATGATGTAGTTTTAGAGAAAATGATTTTCAATGCAATTAATACTGTTTTCATGGTAACTGAACAAGGTCTACCCCAGGTTAATTAAGATCTGTGAAGGCAACCAAGAGCCTACATTTAACAGTGGGGACAGTTATTTTCATTAAGACACCAGCAGGCACTCAAGGACTAGCAAGAGTCAATTAATACGGTCAGGTTGTCTGGGACATCTGGAGCCAATCAAGGACTGACTGCAACTGATTAGAAAGCCTCCCCATCTTTCAGTTCAGTAGCGTGCCAGAACTGTTGGAGAAGGATTCAATGGTGGAAAGCCAGGTGTACAGACACTGCCAGAAGAGACCCCCTACAGGTACAGAGGGGAGAGGCAAGGAGAATCTTGCCTAGGGAACAGTCCATTCAGGCCCCAGAAGACAAAGGAAGTAAACGCCTGCTAGAAGGGGATAGACTCAGTCAAGAAATCCAGTCACAGGCCTCTACGTCCACCAACGATTGACTGGGCTTTCTCCCCCTTCTCTTCCCTTCCCTTGTTATGTTGATGATGAGAGTGGCCAAATCAGACTAGAGTTTGCCCCAGCAGTAAAGGGGTTGAAGTGAGAACTGTGGTGAGCAACAGAGATGAGCAATTAGATTGGAAGCTGCCATTTTTCTCAGATGGGAGAAAGACTGAGTATTGTCTCTGCTAACTGGAATAGCAGGATCCACTGAGTGGAACGAGGAGCTTCATCACAGTAGATTTAAAAAAAAAAAAAACCTTGATAATAAATGTGAAGATAGGCTGGCATGTCTCATTTTAGAGGAAATATATTTTAAAATTCATTTATCACATTTCTAGGTAAAGTCACTAAATAATTGTACAACGTATTAATGGCAGGGGAATAAAGGAGTATAGATAGAGAATTTTGCACTTTTAGAAAACCAATTTATGCAGTTAGTACATGTCAAAATAAAGTTGATGAAAGAATTCCATAAAGGTTACAAAATATTAGCGAGTAGAGTGATTAACTTATTGAATGCCTATTTAGAAATGCACTAAATGCCTAAAGGGCATATATAAGTGCAGTATTATATACAGTGTTATCACGTCTCCTTTATGCCTCTAGCATTAAGACTGTATATAATTATTTAAGACTTTATTTAAAAACACTGTAAATGCATAAGAATATTTTCTTCTAAATTATATATATATATATATATATAAACCTGTCTGCTTAATTTCTCCAACCTTTAGGCTTTAGTAAGCACTGTACTAATTGTATATAAAATATTTTATATCTAAAAATGAAAAAGTTCATGTTATAAAGGAACACTTTTTCTGCCATTACTAAGGTTTTTGTAAACTAGTAAAGTACAGTCATCATTTTTCTCTAAGGATTCATGTAGTCTTTCTTTACTCTTATGTCATTAAAACTTTGTATATTTCTATATACTAGACATGTCTTAAATTGCATTTAACATTTATTTTCTTGTTGTGTGTCTGAGTTAGACTTCAAATTTTCAGAATAACAGGCTCAATTGGAATTATTTCATGTAAGAATATAAATCAGAAATTAGTACAGCACTATAGAGAATACAGAAAGTGATCGATACATTAGTACCCTTTGTTGTCAAAC